ATAATAGTAGTTAGTTAAGTAGTGTGTGTGTGTGTGTGTGTGTGTGTGTGTGTGTGTGTGTGTGTGTGTGTGTGTGTGAGAGAGAGAGAGAGCGAGCGTGTAAATCAAGGATGACGAGTGTGCTACAATGGTTGATAGCCTGATAAACCCAGTGTTTCCTGGCGATTCTCATTGCTTTACATAACAGAACAGATTTTGGAGAACTTCTTGATTGATTTTCAGTTCACATTTTTCTTGCCTTTCTAAACACTAACTTCTAAAACTTCAATTTTATTTTGACCATAAAACCAAGAACCAATATTAAAGAAAAATATTTGCCATTCAAATAGTTTTATGAAAAAAAATTCAAAGCAACTGACCCCTTTAAATGTGCAAAAATGGTCTCACAGCAGCTATTTCCATTAGCAATGATCCACCAACTGTATCTTTCCATGGTCTACTTTCATCATTCTAACTGGTGATATCAATCTATTTCTGAACACAATACACTGTCATGGGTGTTTACAATTGGGCTCATGCCTGCGAATATACAAACAGTACCCAATGAGATTTAAATAACTAAAATCTCTTTGCTTACTTGCCCAATTACATTATTTTTAGTTTACATGATGTATAACCTAAACATACATAACAGAACCTTAAAGCAGGCATTTGTATCTGTTGTAACCAAAATTTTCTGAACAAATTATGTTAAGAATGACGGGCCACAAAATTCTATCAACTATTGAACTACGTACTGAACATCTATTCAATAGCCAGAAGAAGTGTGGCATTAGATACATTAACAATTTAAAAGTAATCCATCACCACTATGTATCACTAATTTACAATTAGCATGACCTTCACCCCCATGACTATGCTGGCATTATCAAAGACACCATGAAACACTAGTGGAGCCAGCTTATGAGGGCAAAATTAAAGATGTGCCCCCACTGGGTTTGTTGCAGTACTGCATTTTTTGCAGTTTCTTTTGATACTTTAAACTATTTGGGATCTACTTTAAAGCAAGGTGACAACAAGCAAATCTGTTGGTGGAAGATTTTCATACTCCCTGCTTAAATGTACACTTACTTGAGGTCACATATGACTGCATACACCCGATCCAGTTTGTCCTGGCTGTAACCCTGGAAGTTGAACTTGTCATTCTTGTCCAGGTACTCTGGCAGCACTTCTAGTAGTGTCTCTGTGATGACGGTAATTACATTTTGCTCCTCAATAAGATGGCGTGCCTGTGTGGGAAATGGTGTTTCAACAATAGGAATCTGCCTGGCTGCAAGAATAGGCAGACTCTCTCTACTCCTCTTAATTCATCATTTGGATGTTTGACACTTGTGGCAAAGCAGCTTATAGTTTGCCAAACATTCTCTAGTGCTGTGTGTCCGCTGAGCCACACATGCAGCAAAGAGGATGGTGTCTAAAAATCTATAGTGCCATATTGCAGTTTTGACCCCCTAGTACAATACGCAATGCCAGGACCTGAACTATGAGACACTAAGTGAAAAAGAGTATCTTCAGCCTTTGATCAACTTCCATACCATTCTCTTCAGAGAAGTGAGATTCCCTTCTATCTAGGGACAGAGTCACCCAGTACAAGTCCCCTGTGGTAGAAAGTTTGTCAAGGGACAAGAGTGAGGCTGCTTTATGCTACTCTAATAGCAGTAATGCCAGGCAGCAGGGCTCTAATAGTCCCATCACCTGAAAAGTGGCTGGCTGTGGCTGGCAGAGAGTGTGGCCAGAGAGGAGGGATGTGTGCCAGTTCAGTGGCTCCTACCAATGAATCTCCTGTAGGTAAGTTAGAGCTGGTGTGAGTTAAAGCTCATGAAAACCTTGAGGAAAAAGGTGTGACCACACAACACTGACTGCCCTATGCTAGGGTGAATTCCCCGATCTGCACAGGTGTAATCCCTCCCTGTGCCATCTCTGTTGAATTTGGCTCATTTTCTGTATGCTGGTATTTTCATTTAGTGCCTGACTTGAAAGGCAAAACTGTAAAGGAAAGAAAATGTGTTTCTGTCCTTTGTTTCTCTCTGATGTATAAACTGGCATAAAGGTTTAACACACACACAGCCTCATTATTTTTACTTTAAAAATGTTACAAACATCAAATCATGTCTTTTTTGTTTGTTTGTTGCTAAAATAGAAAATTGGAGTGGGATCTCTCTTATTCTTCTGCTGAAGAGGGAGCAGTGTCAACTTTTTCACCTAGAGAGTCTCTAAGTATTTGAAAGGTTTCAGAGTAGCAGCCGTGTTAGTCTGTATCCGCAAAAAGAAGAACAGGAGGACTTGTGGCACCTTAGAGACTAACAAATGCTCTAATAAATTTGTTAGTCTCTAAGGTGCCACAAGTCCTCCTGTTCTTCTTTTTGCGGATACAGACTAACACCGCTGCTACTCTGAAATCAGTTCAGTTAAGCACTCCAAAGTTGAGATGCTTCTCCAAATCTCTTGAACAGGTGATATTGATCTGAAAAATCTCACACCA